GATCCTCCAAGTTCTTTGTGTGAGTCCATTTTATGCCTGTTTCCTCATTGCCCGCTGTTTGTCGCATTATCCAGTCTACTGCAATCAGGAAAATCATTGGCGATAGTAGGCAACCCTGTCTTACTCCTGTCTTCACTTCGAAGGATTCCGTGAGCTTCCCGTTGTGGATTACTTGGCATGCAGCGTTGTCATACAACTGTTGGATGAGATGTATAATTGTCGGCGGCACCCCGTAGTAGCGAAGTAGTTGCCAAATCACCTCTCGATCGACACTGTCGAAGGCCTTTTCAAAGTCGATGAAGTTGAGATAGAGAGGTGACTGCCATTCCAAACTTTGTTCAATGATGATCCGTAGTGTGGCGATTTGATCAATACATGACTTGTTACTCCTGAATCCAGCTTGTTCTGGTCGAAGTTTTTCATCCAAGGCTTGTTTGATCCTTTCCAGGATGATGCGGCTTAGTATTTTGCTTGGGATGGAAAGGAGCATAATTCCGCGCCAGTTCTTGCATTGACTTAAGTCTCCTTTCTTTGGTAGTTTGAATAGGTATCCTTTCTTCCAATCCTCGGGTACTTTGCCTTCTTTCCACACTTTCTCAAGTAGTGGCGTCATCAGGTCTGCTGTTGTCTCTGGGTCGACTTTCAATGCTTCTGCTGGGATTCCATCTGGTCCTGCTGCTTTCCCAGCTTTCAGCATCTTGATTGCCTTCAGGACTTCTGATTTCGTCGGGGGGTTGATGTTCACTGGTAATTCTGCTTCCGTTGTTGGTATTGTTGGGCGCGTTGTAGGTGGCGGTCGGTTTAGTAGTCTTTTGAAGTGTTCAGCCCAGTGTTTCCTTTGCTCCACTTCTTTGGTGATTGACTTTCCATTTTCATCCTTCACTGGCTTAATTTGTGACGAATTTTTGCCTGAAAGGTACCAAGTTGTTTGGTGAAGTGTTGCGAGGTCTCCTTTGCCTGCAGCTTGTTCTGCTTCATTGGCCATGGCTTCATAATACTTTCTTTTGTCTTCTCTGGCACTCTTCTTTACTCCTTTGTTCAGTGTATTGTAGCTTACATTCAACTCCTGTTTCTGTTGCTCGTCGGTGCACTGCAGAATTTTTTGTTTCACCATCCTTCTCTCCTCTATTAGCCTCCAAGTGTCCGTAGTGAGCCACGGTTTGTCCTGTCTCTTCTTTCTGCCCAGAACTTCCATGCAGGTTTCACTCCATACTGTTTTCAGGTTGTTCCAGTGTTTTTCGACGCTGACCTCTTCACCAGTGTTGATTTTTGTCTCGGCTTTGTCCTTTATACTTGCAGTAAAGATATCCTTTGTATCCTGGTCCTTTAGTTTTTGAGTGTTGAACTTGGCTTGTGGTCTATCTGCAGCTCCTGTTTCTCTGAAAGCCTTTAATTTGAGTTGGATTGTTCCTTGTACGAGGTAGTGGTCTGAGCCAACGTCTGCTCCTCTTCTTGCTTTTGTGTCCAGTAGGCTGCGCCGCCACTTCCTCGAGATTGTGATGAAGTCAATTTGGTTTTTGGTTCGCCCATCTGGTGACACCCATGTAGCCTTGTGAATATCCTTGTGTTTGTATACGCTGCCACCAATCACTAGTTCATTGAAGGCGCAGAAGTCGGCGAAGAGTTCTCCATTTTCATTCATCTCTCCCAGAGCTTCTTTACCCATGATGAGTTCCCTTCCTGTGTTGTCTGGTCCCAGTTTGGCGTTCATGTCTCCCATTAGTATTTTGATGTCACCGGCTGGAGTATTGTCTATTGCTGCCTGCAGTTGTCTGTAGAATTCTTCTTTCTTTTCGAGGTCTCACCAAACCAGTAATACACAATCAATCATATGAAGTTTTCCATTCACAATTCACTTTCATTCAGTAAATACTATCAACACTGTGTATTAAGGATAGATTGTTCTTCACCTTTTTTTGTTGGCAATTCAACTAATTCCACAACTATAGGGGTCTCCTTAAACAGCTTCTATTGGTGGAATCATAAACAATTGCATTACTTGACCCACCTACAAATATAACCACTGAAAACTACTGATATTTTGCTTTAAAACACTAGATACCAGAGATTAACAAAACTTTGATTATTTTCCATCAGCATTCTTCCAGTCACATTTCTCTTCTTATATTCTGGAGGTTTGAACAGAGTAGGGTGCAGCAGGTCGTTGGCGGTTAGGACAAATACTTGCCGAAGACATTGGGGCTAGGGGTCACGCTATGTCGTGAATTAGCAGAAGTTAGAATTCATGCACTGGCCATTGGATCAGGTCCCAGTGGCTTAATGGTATACGAGCTCGCTCGCTCGCTCGCCTTGTAACCAGAAGGTCACGGGTTCGAACCCTGTCGGTGGGTGCGTACTGATGAGGAGTCCCAAACTAGGACGAAACAGCTGTCCAGTACTCCCAGCTGGTTTTCCAATGGTTCTCTAACCAATGTCAGCTCATGATGAAATCCTGTAACCAATCGACTTTTTAGTACAATCATTCACCCCCCACCCCGTCCATTCGATTCTCCTTCCCATAGAAAAAACCAGTCATCTCCTTGAAACACTGTCATATAGTTATGTAGCTATCACCTCCTTTAGATAGGTCTTACTCCCTGACATCTTACACAAGTCAAAGGGTGAATATGAGTGTTCAGCAATCATCATCAGCAGACTGGTGGATATGAACATCCGCCAAACGGAGTTAGATAACCCTGTGCAGCACATGCCTTCCACAATCCGACAGGCTATGAACCTGTTTTCATTGCCGATAACCATTAGAACACAAATCCCCTAGTATCGCTGTTCCATGCCTTGTCGGTCAGGCTTCTAGTTAAAAGCTTACAGGTCGCGTGACCAATTACAACAATCAGCTATCTTGAGCTTCACACGTCCACACAGGATTTCAGCACTCTCACAATATTATATACAGCATCTCTTGGCGCCTGTAGTCTGTGTTGTGTATCAAGTGTATGTTCAATTAAATATGAATAATCCAACCAGTTAAGTCTAGGCAATAAAAAAGATGGACAAGGGAACCTAATTACCAAAAAGAGAAGAAGCAAAGAAAACAGTCGGCTAATCGCTTCAAATGACTATTGAATCAACCATCACCTGCAACTCGACTAGAAATACCGCAAACACCGGGCACAGAACTACCACTGGACACTAATTCTCCAATAAAAACAGAATTCTTCAATGCAGTCAAGCGACTGTCCTCACCCAGTCGCGAAGGCAGTGTAACTAGACAGGATTCTTTCTTAAAGCACTGAAAACTCACCCACAGACTACATCCACTATTGTAAATAGTTTGGAAGCAAGGGAATTTGCCTGCTGATCAGAAAAAAGACTACCTGGTCAAATTACGACAGAAGGGCGACTTCTGCCACCACTGTAAGAAATGGCGCAGAATCATGCAAAGCAAAATATGAAGTAGCATCATTCCAGAGAGGATAAAGGATGCATAACTCCAACCAACCACCGGAACAAGCTGGATCCAGAAAAACAAAACGATGTGATAATCAAATCCCAACGCTATGTATCATCATCAACGAACAGAGCACTGAATGCCAGTTAAACCTCTACCTCAATTTTCTTCGTCGATTTCGGAAACTCCTTCGACGGCATTGACCACGAAGTCATTTGAAACTACTCTAACACTATGGCCTGAAGTGAGAAAATCTTTATCCACCTGATTCAGCAGCTGCCTATGCTGACAATACAAGGTGTCAAGTGATCCACAACGTAAAACTCGGCGAGGCGTACCAAGGGAATACAGGAGTAGGACAAGACTGCTGGCCTCCCATCGACGGTTGTATTCCTTATTGCTGTACACTGGATTATGCGAAGCAGCGAACCTGAGGAGCGAGGAGAGGAAAATATTGGACCGATAGCAAGACTAGACATGATCTGAACACGGAGGTGATACACATAACCAACCAACTAACAAGAACAACACGTACCAACCACTATCGACGGAATAAATTTGAAAGAGGTGTCACTTCCTTCATTTATTAAGGCAGGCAAAACCCTTTCAACTACGGGAGAAACGTATGAGGGTGTCAAAGCCAGCCACAATCAAAAAGCCAACATAAATACTCATCATTCTGCAATCACTTGACAAATCTTTAGTGCATTCACCAAACAGGAAAACATTCGGATTTTCAACACCAGTGTTAAGTCAGTCAGTTCTTCTCAATGGGTCAGAAACTTGTTCACCGCATCACGAAAAGTATTTCCAACAGCCAGCTGCACAATTTCACCAACACCTGCCCACTTTCTTGGTTCCACAACCGAAGATCAGATGGCTGACGAGAAAGAATTACTAACAAAAAACTCTGGCTCAACAAAATATGGTGAACAAAATGCATATGAATTGTGGATTGGATCTACGCTGAGGAGACTATTCAGTGACATCATGCGTCACATCACAGCTCTCGAATAGAACCGCGGTGAGAAACGACCAGTCGGGCGTAGGTACGACGATGACATGAAGGAGGTTGAGCAACTGAAAGCCAGCTAATAGGCAGTCGTGGAGGCAGCTAAAAGCGAAGTGTGCAGTGAACACAGTGAAATGGGAGATGTCCTCTTGCAGCCCTGTTTTATACTCCAAACCCAAGAGGGAATAGTTATTACGATAAAATAGTTATTAATACATCAGGAAGGAATGTTTTTTATACCTATGCGTTCCAGGTGGAACATAAGGCGGCTTCAAGCATGACCTACAGAGTTCCAATAGCAGTGGTTTTCTCTACTGGGTGGGCTGGCTAGCCTCACACACCTAACTTAACCTTGCCCCTTTGTCTGGTTTACAACAACCCGCTGGCAAGAGAGGTAAACGTGTGAGCCGACTGGGAATCGAGCCCCGCACAACAGGCATAGTCGACCACCATCCTACCACTGAGTCACCGATGCTTGTCAAACAGCAGGACGACAAAATTTGTTACACATACAAAGAGGCTGAGTGAGTGTGTGTCTGTCTGTGCGTGATGGAGAGAGATACAGAACTAAGGCTAGTGCACACAGAGAAATTTGTCTTTAATAATTGTTTTCTTTAAAAAATAGTACTGTACAGGAATACATAGTAATCTGAGAACAAAACAAAAGTAACCAACACAGTTATATACATAAAGGAATGGAGAATAGTGATGAGATGAGATGAATAGCAGTCATACATGTTGTTCACCACTATTATAATCATGAGCAACTAGTCCTTCGGTAGGTTTTACGCATCGATAGGGCATCTATTTATAGGGGATATAGCAGCTTATACGAGGAAGAGTACGTCCGGTTTGCTGGTGTGCATGAGAGGTGGATGATGACGAAGCATTGCAGGATGATGGAGGATCGCAGCTGTCATCATCTGGAATTAATGAAAATATTTTGAAAAAACAAATCGAGTTACAATGAATGAATTTCAAAGCATTTACTACCGATCAGTATATACATATATATGTATACAGTTATTAACAACATCAATGCTGTTTTAAATTACATCAACAGATTACCGTTCGATCGAAAGCGTCAGTAAGGGAGAGAGAGAGATAATATGCATTAATGTAACACTAAACTGACTTTCAGGTCAACCAGGGGGGCAATCACATGGAATGTATGCAATTATATGCTCAACAGTAGGCCAGAGTACCACCAGGAGTGGCTGCTTCGACCTGTTTCTTCTACCCTCCCCACACACACACACACAAAACTCCACTTGATTTAAACCAATCACAATAACCTCTGCTGTTTTCGGTCATTGATTCGATACCCGATTGAGACTGTTCGATGCTAGCTGGCCTGCTGGCTAGCTTTGTGGTATGTTTCGGACGAGGCGATCTAACATCAAACTATTCGTGGTTTTAACAACACTTTTATTCAATCAAACTGGTAGGTGTTCCCAAACCAGCACGAAAAATCAGGTTCCTAGAGTTATTGACGCCAACAATATAACTGACTCCAGAAGAGAGCTGTTAAATTGATAACTACAATTACAGGAGGCTAGACTGGCTACTTCATCTTTCACTTGAGGAATCACAACCAGTTGTGTGGAAAATATAAGCTGCAGCTTCCCAGCATTAAACATTCTCTCAGCCGACTTTTGCTCAACTTGTTGGTTATTACTTCCCTCGGTACACCATCAGTCGTATATTCTCAGAGATTCCTTGTTAACAGACACAAAAGAATTCTTTACCAGTGTGTTGGCCATGTGTTTACTGGTGAACTTTCCAGCCTAGCTGTTCCCAATTAACGTGTCGTATGATATAACTTTCAATTCACCTTCAATCACATCTTCTGAACAAATACCTATCACGGTACAGCTGAGTCTCTCTCTTTACCAGATTTCTTCTATTCCGGAGAGAAACAAACCTCTGAAAATATGTATATTGATGGGTATATGTGTGATCACGGACTGACTGATATCAATCAGTCAGAGAATCACTAAAAGCCACAATGTACTGAAAAGCTCTGCTTCGCCCTAGTTTGAGATTCTTCAGCAGCACTCACTCATGAGACCCTATCACCACCTAGAGATCGAAATCACAACCTGAAAGTTAAGAGCTGAGCTCGTTAACAATTCAGTAGTCACTAAGACGTAGCAAGAATTCACAGGCTCATTGAATCTCTTAGCCAGCCGAAAGGGTGAATGCTTAACCAGCTTGATTTCGTCGTAACCTGAAGGTTGTTACGACCAGGACCGACTCATTGGAGTGCTCTGAATGCAGGAAACTGATCTCTGCGTCCTACTTTACAGCCGTGCGAAACTTCGTTGACCTACTCTCTCACAGTCACAAATATGCTCCAAAGACACTTGAAATCTATGTGTTCCACGTTCTATTCAACAATTTATAAAATCATAGAAACTCAAGATTACCTGCCGATACAGTGCTGCTGAGCAGCTCTACAGACGAGATAGTTTTTCTGAGTACAAAACAAGTAAAATGTAGAACAAAGTTAGTTAGCCAAAATTCAATTGTAACCACAACACGGTTTCAGAATCATGTTCAGGGCGGGATTCTCACCTCCATTCACTCAAACAAAATCACATCGCAAAGCAAAACACATCACCAGTGTGTATCTCACAACTACACACAGAATCATTCAAGTTAGAAATGAAACAAGCAGGAAGAAAGACAAGTCATTTATAAGGAAGGAACAAGCCAACAGATGATAGGCGAATATCAGAACAACAATGAATATACAACAGTCTAGAAGGGAAAGGAATAATAACTACACGGTTAATTGAAACAGTCATATAAGTAAGTATCGATTTTGTAATTCAATCCTTCAGGAGGGATTCTTTCAAACAACTATTTCGTCACAGAGGTCCCAGGTTCCAAGACCAACGGTGATGTCGACAATGTGCATTGGTGAAGACAGTCTCAAGCTCATACAGATAGAAAGCAGCTGTTCACTACTCCCCCCTAAGCTTCACAGTGATGATGATCTGTCCAACTCATGACGACTGTTCCATGACAAAATCCATATCAAAAAGAGAATTTATATATACTTATTTATGTATTTACAGCAAAAATCAACCCTAAAAGCCTCCTTTCAGATAACACCAAAACCACCCTAACCCTCCCGCCTAGTTAGGGTTTCTCAAATTAATCAATTTTCACTGAATCGACATGCTTCGTCCATTCACAGACTATATCGGCCTCAGAGTTTAAGTCTAGATGGAAAGGCTATCACTCTCAATGGGAGATGCAGGTAAATTAGGCAGGCAAGCCCATAATACGACAAAACGCGTGCGTGCATCTTCAATTCCCAACTACAATAACCACCCACCGTCAACTGCTAAATATCATTCATTGTATATTAACCCTTTAGATATTTTTGTGCACGAAATATTACAAAAACAAAACCACAAGAAATGAATACTGAAGAAGAGATCGAAATTCCATACGATACTGACTACGTTGGATCTGCTTTACACAACTGAAGTCTATCACTAATCTACACTGCATCATTATGGACTAAAACATTTTTATGCCATTAACTGGCACTGAAATCGGAGACTTTGTTGGCAATCTATCTGGGTCAACATTACGCCAATCAGTCAGTCATATCTTCATTGTTACGACGTCATGGAATTTTCGTCGAAATGTTACAATCTCCTAGCTGACAAAGCGATCAGGTTGAAAAAATAAATAAGTTATGCGAAAATCAAACAAGCAGACAAAGGTGATCAAGCTTACCCTTCAATTTTTGCAATAATTCCTTGTAGGCTGCTTTATTATCCTCACTCAATTTACTCTTCACTGCCGAAATTTCAGAATGATTACACAGTTTTATCTTCTCCTCCCATTTACTGTGTAGGTGACTGTACCGCTCCAATAATTTTCGATGAAGATTTTGGTATCTTTCAAAGGAGGCTTCTGTTCCCCTCACTGACCATATGTGATAGGCGTCCTCGAAGTCTAACTTCAATTGGAGCGTCTTATCATCCAACCAGTCAACTTATGAAAAGTAAAAAACATACTTTTTAGGAATATATATATAAAATCTTTTAAATCTCAAAAATAAAATTGTTTTAAAAGTCAACTTCACTCAACCCTCTCTTGACCGCCCCCGCTGACAACACTTTAGCACGGATATTAACAATAGGCAGATGTGGCATTTCCTGCTAACTTATATCATCACTGGTGTGCAGACGTGATATCCGCCTATTCATCAAAGAATATACATGTTCTCAGCACCGGTACTGTTACAAGAATGACAGCAGCTTGTACCTGCACTCAATCCTTCCAGGTAAACCGCTTTAAGTTGTCGATAAGTTCTGAGTAATTGTATGAGTGCTGGTGGAGGAGGTGTGTCATGGATGATATTTCTAACCTTATCATGAAAGCTAGGATGGCATATGCAATCTCGAACAATCGTGAAGCCAACTAGAAGGGACTGCAGAGAACACGAGATGAAATGGAGATGGGCTACTTACTGTTCAACGCCTCGATACTACACTACGGATCCAAGGCACAAATAATCAATAAAATATTACAATAATAATAATAATCACAATAATTGATTTCAATTCTTACACTTACCATCCATGGAATCTCTCAAATGCCGCTTGTCTTCTATAAAGCCAAAATCTACCATTTTTTGACGCAGATAATTCACCAGCTGTGCAATAACTGGCAAATCGCATTCTGAGGCTAATCTGAGCAAGTGTTCAGTTCTAAAATGGAGACACAAATGTCAATAATACTACGGTATATATATATATATATATACGCATACATATATGATATATACTTACACTCAATCATCAAGTTGAAACAAGGCAGCCACACGCGCACACACACAAACGGATACAAAAGGTGTTTACACAACAAACAAAACGAAAACAACAACGATAATGGAGAAAATCAAAATAAAGAAACCGAAGATGACAAACATGTACACATACGTTCACATTTATCAGAAGTGTGAATTTTGAACCGCCTCTCACCCACCCCCTTCCTTGCCTTCATCATATTCAATTAGGCAAAAAATAAAACATAAACGATTCACATATCTATGTGGAAGTGTAACAACATTATATTAAGAGAAGTGACCCCGCTTTCCCTTTCCATCCCTTATCCATCTGTATCATCACTATTAATTATTATCATTATTATTGTTCCCTTTGGTTCCGAGCGGAACAGAGACCTCTTCAACAGCAGCACATCTCCACTCTGTCCTATTCTCTGCTGTCCTCTTTAGCTGGTCCCACAATTGCCCATAGTCACTCATCCCCTACTCCTGCTCCTCCTCGCCCTCATGATCTCTTCCATATCACCATCGGAAACACACTCAACACGTCATTTCCCACTCAGGTTCCACTCGATGGCCTGGACTGGCCTGCACAGAGGTGTCACCCAAAAGTCCCCTCATCAGGTATCCAATCCGTATCAACTTCCTTCAACGCATTTGTTTTCGCCTGTTGGTTCATTCACAGAGTTTCTTGTTGCTGATTCTTTCTGACAGACTACGCGATCTTCAGTATGGAGGCAGCCAGCGAAGGTGAGCAATTGTTGATAAATGTCTACACAGTAGCTTGTTGAAAATGCTTTTCGTCACGCCTTCGCCGAGTTTCTGATCCATACAGAAGAACTCACTGACCGACTGACTGACTTAACATTAGTGTTGAAAATCCGAATTTTATTATCAAGCTGTACAACCGAGTATATATATTTATGTATATAGCCGTTAGGAAATTATGTCCCGTAAGGAAATTTAAACAAGGCTGTGAATACACAAAATAGTAACAGTAGTATGCAATATAATTAAAATGTTTGTGATTATAATCATGGTTAAAACTCAAATGGCAAAACAAATAGTCATACATAGAATAGGTTTCAGGTTTAATATCAATTGGAGGAGTACTGAATAGCTAGCTGTTTCATCAGACAAGTTTGCGACTCTGCAGCAGTACGCATCCACCAACACAGGGGTTAGAAGCCAGCACTTTCCAGTTACAAAGTGAGTTTGTAAATCACTCACAGTCACTGGATTCAATACAAATTCTGCCAATTCATTCATGATATTACCAGAGCAACCGCCAGCAAATGACACAGGCGAGTAACTGATCTCTGATACCTAACTTGATGGACTTCGCTGGTCACCACTACTCACTAGAACCTCGGGTAACTTTCCGTACAGAGCTAGTCACTAGTGAGCACCAGACTAATTATCAGTTATTAGTTTGGTGGCACAGTAGCAGAATGCTCGCCAAACACGCAAGTCGTCCGCGGTTCGATTCCCGGCCACTGTAGACACTCCTTTACCTCGATAAGCCAGGAATAAGACTGTTGAAGAGGAGAGGTTGGACACGAGGCTAGCATCTCCATCCCGTAGAAATAAACACCACTGCTACCGAAACTTCAAGCCTCTTACTTGAAGCCAGCCCTATGTTACACTGGGAACGTACAGAAATAAACAAAATTGGTTTGTAGGGATTTCATTATTGATAGGAGGTATTAATGTTGCAAGTGGGTGTACAATTAAGAGGAGTAGGAGGCAGATAAAAGACGTCATATAACATGATTTGAAATTTGATTGGACAGAATTCAACATTGCAAAAGATATTGCGATTCAGAATGATAAGTTGGACAAGAGAAGGAATACCAGAACAGTTCAAAGTGAGAGGCAGAGACAGGAATTGAACACACTTCTCTTGTACACAAAGGTCTGGCCTGGATTCACCAATAACCAAGGCCTCCACTGTCTTTAGAAGTTTAGAACTAAGAAAACGCAGCGAGTTAGCATGAATTCTATAGATGATGATCTTAAAATCACTGTCACGCTTGGTAGATTAATAGAAGCCGATTAAGTGTGTTCCAGAATAGCGTTTCGCACAACCTTACTTTTTCCTTTGTAAAATTATGCTGGAGAATATGTTCGCCTATACGTGCAGAAACCATTCTCTGCCCACTTTACAAGAGCAGATAAACTGATACATGCACACAAAGGCCGCTAGACGATAGGGAGCTTATCTATTTTTACAGGCACGGAGAACAACTTACAGTCAGTGGAGGTCATCTGTGGTTTTGCAGCAAACAACGTCTCACTAACTGATTTAGAGAGAGAGAGAGACAACTTCTAAGCATATCCGAAGCCTAATCAATATCTCAATTCAAAATTCATGAAGATAGTTCTCTTGGGAGAACCGAGTCAATGACCAGTTTGCATTACTTATGTGAGTACCAATAAAACATTTAAATAGAAATGAGATATCTACACAAACACCCACACACACACACAAATGCACACAGCAAAGAAAACCAAGAGACTTATACACCTTCAGAAAGATAAAGAACTTCATACAGACGATTGCCAGTGAGTGGACAGTGTGTGTGTGTGTGTCATTTTTGACAGCGAGATTGGAATTTTAGAGTACAACTTTGCACAAATTGCAACAGTACGAGTTGACACATTCACACTAAGCACACATAAGCACAGGAACAGACTTCAAAAAGGTAAGTTTAATGAAGACAAATGTACGGAAGAGAAAGCATAATTACCTAGAGGAACATGACTCAACTCCAACTGAATCAATCCTGTCAGTTAAGATTACTCGACAGAGAAGTTGATAGCACATATGTGTCAATGTATAACACGGTGTCTTAGCCATCTCAATCGATGTGACTTTACAACATCAGTGACTGACTTACTCTCCTTATCTCACAATCTGTGCCCAACGATTTTATACCAGTTAACATGGGAGACAGAATGTACACGTGTCTGTTCAAAGACAACTAGCCTCTTTAAGTCATCCACCAATTACTTAATAATGCACAGGTATGAAGTTTGGCAATATGGACGAACAGATTTCCATATTGGCTTTTCCTGGCAATTATTTGAACTTTCAACGCTAAGATTCTAAATAAAACGAGTTACAACCTGAACCAACACAGACAAAGTAACTTTTAACACTCTTACAAAACTTAACTGAACCATTCATCATACAGAGATTCTATACATAGTCTACTGCATTCGGACTAATGGGACTAAATTTTCTCCACCCCTGACCCATCAGCCTTACTAGCAATATACAATTCCACTCATGAATGAGCTAGTCATCGACAGTACTAATTAGGTGGAACAAATTCATACCATTCAAGTAGAATTTCACAGTGAGGTGTAGACTATCTACCTGGTTGGAGTTATCAGAAACTCTGAGAACCAATGGTGGTTTCAGATTGTTAGTGATATGGTTGAAACCTGTTCTTATTGGTTTACATGTATTCGCTTGTTTGTAATCTGCCAGATGGATTAATTAAGACGTCATAATCCTTTGTGTGATTATTCTTTCTTCTGTATGTAGTGTGTGCGTGTGTAGCGACTTATGCTGTTGCACTTTTGTGCAAAGTTCTTCGTCGAAAGTTCAGTTCAGTCCAGTTCATGTAGAAATCTGAGTAGTTTTAATCAATTCTGAGTTGTACTACCTACACTCTTAACACATAATCGATACTGAGATTTTACCGGTCAATAAACTTTCGGACCTCTGATGTAGCCTCCTATAGTAAAATCGGATGGTTGATATGCTTACGATAAACAACATGTCTACGCAAAACAGACCTGAAGTAACAAATTATATTTTGGTTTTTTCTGGTTAATAGAGGAATGTCAGGCCACCGAAACATGTGGAAGTGTGATACCAGTTGATTTCAACACCGTTACCTGGAATAAAATATGACAAATACCTAACGTGATATAAGAATTTGCCGAAAATATATGCATATATATAGAAGTCAGCAGTGAGAACTTTCCAAACCACTTACCTTAATTCACTCTTTTTAACCCTTTTTGGTGACATATGTGTATGACTGAGTGTGAAAAAGTCAAAAAAGCACCTAAAATCTTGAGAGAAAAAAAGGAGACATACGTTTCAGATAACGACAACAAATGTAAACAAGCTTATCATAACTATGACATAAGCTTATAGCGACTGACTGACTGACAGGTTGAGTTCCAACAATACAAATTTACACAGAAATGCATCAGTTCAAAATGCCACATATTTGTTTGCTCATTTCTCTCTGAAATTAATTATTGAGGAAATCAAGGTCACTATTTTAATGAGCCTAAAATAGAAGTTACAACTGGAATGAATAAACATCTTGAGTAATTTGAAGAAAGCTTTATACCTCTAATCAGTTCCTCTAACAAATAGAAGTGTAACCCAACGCCCAATAAATGAAGTCGTAGACAGTGAAACAAACGAATTTAATCATAGAACAATAACTTGCTAAACTTCAGTGATTAGAAGGCGATGTGAAAATCGGTAACCAACACGATCTCGTAACATTGCATTGACAAGACAAAGGCTATCACCACTATCACCAACCATGATATTCCCAAGTGTGGTGGACTGGATTATGCACAACACCCACTACCTAGGAAGCAAACAAGACAAAAACATATTGGACCGATACAAAGACTATAGAACATCTCAACTTTCTGCACGATCGATGTCTAATGTCACATAAATTCGAAGACTCACAGGCGAATAACCAACAAACTAACTGATGAACAGGGCAGCGAAGATACGACTTCAAGCGAACATACAGAAGATGGAAGTGATGACAACAACAACATGCACCAATCACTATCAACGGAATAAATTTCAAACAGGTCACTTCCTTTACTCATCTGAGTATGTACCAGCGTTTCAAATACACGCACAAGGGACGGATAAGGATGACAAAACCAGAAGCTGAAAGGCTAGGCAGACCTCCATCGCTCTAAGATTAGTTTGGAAATCTTCTCCTCTGACTCACCTTACATAATAAAATTCGCATTTTCAACACCAACATTCAATCAGTCACTTCTATATGCGTCAGGCGAAACACAACAAGTTAGCAGGAGAAGCAGGCAGAGAACACACGATTTCACACCTAACTTACCAGGCTGGGCGCGCACGAAGATGAAGTTGAGTTAACATTCACATAAACAAATGTGTTGTAATGATTGAAATGAAACAGTCAGACCTTGTCTTTATCCAACTACCCAGTGAATAAATACAGATTATATTACATTCCGGCTGAAATGTGCCTTATCCCATGCAGTTCAGCTGTATGTTTGCGCTACAATGACGAAATCCCACACTTCTTCCCACTTTTCCCGTGTTTCCCGTATTTTCCCACATTACCCATGTCTCCGGAAAATAATTGCCCACGTATTTCCACTTTACCCATGTTAAAACTGAAAACAGACCACTTCTTCCTAATATACCCAAATTTGAACGACTGGACTTATATGTCACGTTGGGTTGAAATTTCGCTTGGAAATTCTTTTGTGAATAAGTTTTTTATAAAATTGTGTTATATGTTATCTGGATTGATGGGAATTCCCATCTCCTGGCTAATTATGTTGGTGTCCGCGTCATGTGATCTGACTGCGACACACTCTTGGCATATTGATTGCAATGATTAGTGTTTCAGGCCGACTGTTTAAAAAATATCGGTATAAACAGGAAGATAGCATAGTCGGAGGGTAATGTCATTTACACAAATAGTTTACTTTGTGCAGAAGCTTCACCTGTCGGCATAGTATAACTCAATGTAAACTTTACGTTTCAGTATATCTATCCCAATCGGACAAATACGGGGAAAATCGTGTTAAAAAGGGGGAGAAAATGGGACGTTCCATTGAGAGAAAAAGGGAAAAAATAGGGTTATGATAAGATCTTGCTCTTTTTTATCAGACATCGCACATTTCCTCCGTTTTCGCCACACTTTCCCCCTTTCTTGAAGTCATAATTTCCCCCTAATTAGCAGAATTTCCCCCTATTGCTTGCATATTTCCCCCCTATTACTCGCAGATTTTCCCCCTATTACCCTCATGTTTGCACCCTAATCAGCAGAATTTCCTCCTATTACGCGCATCACTTTTTCCTTATTCTCTTTACGTCAAATAACTCACAACTCGCAATTCAAATAACGGTTCGTTATGAAAATAAATATATTTCATTTGTTTATTGGTCAAAGGAAAAAAAGTTGACAAAAATTCGGCAAATTAATTCTTTAGGATAAATGAACAGTTAGAGTTGCAAATGATACACACAAGTAGAATGATTGTCTTTTAATACGAAGTCTGAATGCAAAATTACACCTGACCCCCATCATCAAGTAGATCACTGAACTATCCTGAAAGGGAAACAAATTATTAGTGAGCAAGGTAGTAATCAACGGTGACACTTAAACAGACATTTGACATAATGATAATGATATATTAAACGTATTTATTCAGCTTCAAAAGTTTACTTAATTATTGAGTACAAATCAAATTATTTGTTTACATATAAATACTCACACTGAAGGTCTTTAAGTGTGAGTATTTTTGAATTTTGAATTTTCCCATGAACATACGACAACAATTGAGTCATTGTAGACAAACCATGTACTCTTGAACCAACTGTCTTCCTAAACACGTAGTTCATATAATTAATAGCAGTAGTAATCATAACGTTGACAATTATACGCTACTGGCAGTTGCATTATAGATTTTTACAGCATTTAATTTAATTAAATTGTTACTTACAGCGCAGATCCTCTGGTCACTCTTCTTATTGTCTACAGCCACCTGTGAAAAATAAAAACAGAATTTCGTTGATTGACATTCATACAATGAAACGGTTTGTAGTATTGTAACCTTAATTTATCAAAAACTGTTTACTTACTCTTCGCCAGCTCCCCCTTTTTTCTACACGATCACGTACGTCGTGGAAGTAAGCCTTAGCACTGTCTTTCAAAGTCTTCATAACTTTGTCCTCGAGCATCGTAGCAAAAGCGAACTTGCTAACAATGATGGCTGAAAGAAATATTTAAATAAAGCGAGCTTACACGTTATAACTTTATAGAAGTAGCATTTTTTGAGGGCTAACTTCCTTGGTGTTCCGCACGCTGTGAAGCGACTTGACAGCTTAGGCTCCCAAATGTAATTGATCATTCGTCTCAACGAAGACTGTGGATTAAACGATAAATTCCCAACCAGTTTCGTCATCTGAGCGTAATCGAAGGTTAATTGTAAACTCACGAATGAATCTATGAATTTCGGGCTTTTCAGTGACGCTTCCAGTTGGTTAAACTCCTCTTCAGTCGCCAAGGGGAATTCCAGTTGACTATTGTCAATGGACGACTTCCCGGTTCCCAAGATGGTCACGTCGGTCGACCTATTTATCGAGACCAACTGCGTCACCAGTTTACTAAGGAACTGTACTTCTCCTTTTAGGGACTGAACTTCTCCTCTAAAGGACTGTAACTCAGTTACCACTTTATTAGGTGAATCAGTGTTTTCCTTACTGCAAAGTAACCAGTGATTAAAAATAACATACGTAGTCTGCTTAATTGGCTGTGTGATTGGTGACGACGTCGCCACTGGCATTTGTTGACAGAAAGTGCTGAAGGAATAAGAATATTAAATGAGTGCGCTACCTGGCTGTCGGTGCCATCCGATAAAACTTTTTGTGAGACAGTAGGTAAACTGCTAAACTAAGTCTTTGGAAGTTGCAGTATATTCCGGGTGGCATTGTGTCCTTAAGTAAGACAGGTATTAGGTAAAGGAGGAAGATGCGACATTCAGTGGCCTTCCACCGACTAACTTCAGTGAGCCCCTACACTTTCTCGGGAAGTCCCTGGGTGTCATTCTAGCACAAGCTAATATCTTCCCGTCAATTTTTTCAAGCATGGGCCGGTTTATGTGCATCTCCTTTTTTTCAGTTAAGTCTTGCCAGAGACTTATAAGGTTCCTCACTACCCCTAAATAGACTGAGTGAATTGGGTCAAGAGGGAAGCACTTAACCATACCAGTGTTTAAATCCTCAAAAACACACTGTCCACGGTGGTGACTTGACTGTATCCTTTGACGGAAGCTGTTATCGGTCCGAATTGGAAAAATTCCATTTTCGAATGTCATTCTGCCATCAAGTTTTCTCCCGGTGACCGTGCATTTGTCGCAACCTGCACTGGCATTATGGCCTACTATAAATTTCACGTCCGCTCTAGCCGGTGCATCACGTTGAAATGCCTATTCAGTCTGGTAATGTGTATGCCTTGACTTAATATATCCCTCAGCTCAGATACTAAGTCATTGCATAACTCTTAATAACTGCTAGGCTTGCTAGCACCACCGTATATACCTATCAGGAATACACTACTGAGGAACGGTGCCGTAATTTTACCTAACAAGGGCCAAAGCTGCTGGTTAGAAGACTTCGAGATGGACAATCCGTCAACATTCAACTGCAGATCAATCTTGTTGGAGGGACTTTTAACCACAGACATCTCCATGTAGTGCTGCAAACATTTCTGGAGACCGATGTGGCAATAGATTCCGCCTCCAAGTAGCATGTAAGGACTACGATTTGACCAGTTATACGTTTAATATATTTAGACAAAATAAACCAACGCTGCTTACTTCTATGACGCATTACCTAAAGCTACCTTAATATAGTTTCCGCTGAAGGTATTCTCCTATAGCTACTACCTTAGTGAGCAACTTAAAGTTATATATATATATTTATTCCTGTTTATGCAGGAACATACCAATTGTACAGGCATGGATAAGTTATTATATAAATTACACATATTTCGATGTATGGTGAATTTACAGTTTGTCTGTTCTTTCTGACATTACAGTCAGTCGGAACAGTCTGCAAAATAGTCTGTCTGTGTAACACATAAAGAGATATAGAAATATTGTCTTCGCATTAACAAAAAACCCAGACATCAGATGAATGTAATACAAATATTTGGGAAAAATAAAGCTTGAAGTCAATTCTCCTATATAACTTTGTTGTGAACAGCATCCTTGACTTTAAGTTTATTGATGTATTATTTTGAGGTCAGTGATGTATTTATTCCATTTTTTCAGCAGTCTAATCGTAGTTTTATAATAGGAAAGGAATTCGATCGTTGATACGAAAACTAGATAAGGTCATGTTAGATTGTTTTACTGCATGAAATGAGGCTGAGGTCGATTCCAGAACTATCCATTGGCGCCATTTGTGGCAGCATGACAGACTGTACACGTAAGTTGAGTAATACATTGAAAACTGTTTGAAAACCAGTTGCTTCTTTATTTCAGATCAAGAATACTCCTTGTACAGAATGTTTGCCAGCGACTTCAAATGGTAGCAT